CAAACCAAATGCTTTTTTGTTATTTATCTATTTATCCTGCTGCCAATATATCATGACATTCCTCACAAACAAACTGGGTAAACTATGATCGGTACTAAATACAGCCATTTTTGTTTAGTTGTTAGCATTTGAGGGTTCCTGGGGCAAGACCAAAAGGAGGCCAAGGGGGGAGGGAGGGAAGGAGGAACAGCCAGTTTGCTAGCTTTTTTTAAAGGCATGAAAAGCAAGCAATGAACAGTAACTGCTGAAGGTATTTAATTTTAACAAAAGAAACTTGTCACCAAATCTACCAGACCACATGGTCTGATGACATTTACAAAGATGTCACCCAGTCAGTTTAAGAACAAGTGACACAGCTGCCCATGAGTGATCACAGCAGGGTTCCTTACAAAAGACCAAGTGTGTATTTATACAAGTGGAGCCCATTTTTCACACTTCTTGTAAAGGAATGTGAACATACATATGGACAATTTGCCTCTCCAGGGGAAATCCAATTAGAAAGCTTCCACTGCTTCTGCAACCATAAAAGATCTCTTTGTTTTAATAAACACTAAATTAACTGTCACCAAGATATAGGTATCCTGTTCTTATTTTGATTAATCCACCATCCACTTGAAAAGAACATATTTTTAAGTTTTAAGTCCTAATTAATGAATTATTAGCTACACATCTCTATGTTGGTTTTACTGGTCTCTTACAAGCAAAAATGGTTATCCATGAAATTGGTTATTCAAGAAAACATGTACTTCTATAAGCACTTCTATTTCATATCTACTCAAAATTAAGTCCCTCTGTGTTCAAGGAGTTTTATTTGCAGACAATTAGTACATGTTTATTGCTTTTTCTCTTTCTAAATAAAACATTTAAAATACCCATAAACAGCCTTAGGTAAACTATCCCTCAAATCAAGCCTGACTCCTGAAAACTTAATGGACACATCTATGCTGTTTTCTTGTGTTTTCTGCTTAAGAAGTAACTGAGGTGTTTCAGTGGGACTGGGAGACAATTAGACAACCGATTTTATATTTTCAGAAATAGGAGGGGAAAAAAACCATTACATATTTGTCTTTTCTTCCCAGAAATCCTTAAGAGTCCTGGTGCAACCTGACATTACTGAAAGCACCTGAAAAGGCTCTATTTGCATGTCTGTAGTCTACTCCCACATTCCATCTAAAACTGTAATAAAATATAGACATGGTTGAACATCTGCCAATTTTTCTCTCTCATTTGGTTTTCTAGTTTGTTTTTTAAAAAGAAATCAGGGAGAGAAAGTTCTTGCCTGATAAAGAGTGCTTAAATACTGCACCTTTTGTGAACAGATATTTATAATAAACCTTGAAAAGGTTTTGTTCAAATGTTGTAAACAATTAGGTCTACCTTATATTGACTGGTTTTGGGCCTCTTTGCTATCATCTAGAAGTTTTCTGGATATTTACAATCTATATATAGCTTTTAATAAAAATGAAGATTTTAAAAAAAATTGTTTTAAAAAGTTATTCAAGATGATCTTTACATCACTTGTTATTTAGTAAATAAATATTTATTTTCTGTTTACATTCTTTGAATCTCCTTTCTCTAAGGCTACAATTCACATATTTATCTATGAACTGCATAGTTTCTGCATACAGGGGGATTTACATTTACAGCTATAATCATACATAGTTGATTCCATATGACTTACTATATGGAATGAATACATCAGTGTCTTTTTTTCAATAAGCAAGGACAATTTCCAGAAGAGGCAATTGAACAGAATTAGCTACAACTAATTGAAAGACTTCCTGTTATTTTAAATTCTTTACTAGCTTCTGAACTGAAACAGAAAATTACTATTTCTAGAAGTGATTGAAATGACAACACATACAGAACAAACATACAACACTAGTACATTTAAATACCTTGATGACTTTAAACAAATTAACAAATTAAGATTTTATATAAGAAATCCCTACAGAATTAAACAATATCAAAACTATTGTGGCCATCCCTCATGAAAATATAGATATTAATTTATCCCATTCTTAACAAAAATCTAAGTCAGAAGGAGAGAGTGTCTACAGAAACTAATAGAGCAATTAAATAAAATCACATGGACAAAAATTATTTAGAATCCTTCACTTTCCCATACAGATCTCACAGCATGCAGGATTGTTGCTCAGGAACCATACTGGACCCAAAGTTACTTTAAACACAAATAGAATGTTTTCTGTATCAGAAATTGGGGGAAATGGCCCTTAAAATATTTTTAGATTTCAGGTCCCATTGTCTATAACTGCTGATTAACAGTCATGATGCTCACAATAAATCCATGTGAATATCAGTGATAGAATTTATCTTCCTCATTACATTAGGTATTCTTGTTATTGCTTCTAAAAAATTGTACTGGTCCTAATTTAGATTTGCCCTTCAATTTTAAAATGAGAAGCAACTCCTGCTGAATAGTTATTTTAAAATGTCACTAGATAACATCCAAATCAAATAATATTAATGCATAATAATAATGCAATAACAGATTAGTTGTCATGTATCATACAAATGAATGTTGTTGGTTTTTTTGCTTTTACTTGAAAGACTAACTTGGTTAATCCTATCTCATCTCTTACATGTTCTGGTGCAATACATCAAAAGATCAACATATATGATCTTATCTTATTCAAGTTTGAAATCAACATATATCTTCTCTTACCCATGTTTGGAATCATATTCCCAGTACAGAGACAGACCAACACTTATAAACAGCTGGACTAATTTTCTCTATCCTGATAAATTCTAGTACCGGTATTTTGTATTACAATTACCACAATCCTTAGTTATCTATATTAACTATATGTACCTTACATTTACACAAGAGTAAGAAGTTGAAGGAAATTCATGTGCCTTCTTCAGAGTTGCATGAACAGACTTCTTTATGAAAGTATCTCGGTGGCGCAGTGGTTAGAATGCAGTACTGCCAGCTACTTCTGCTGATCACCATCTGCCAGCAGTTTGGCAGTTCAGGTCTCACAGGCTCAAGGTTGACTCAGCCTTCCATCCTTCCGAGATGGGTGAAATGAGAACCCTGATTGTTGGGGGCAATATGCCGACTCTGTAAACTGCTTAGAGAGGGCTGTAAAGCACAGTGAAGTGGTATATAAGTCTAAGTGCTATTGCTATTGCTATCTCCCATTTTAGGTTTTTGCAAGACATTTTTTAAAAACTGTTTTTCTCTTAAAAGATAAAACCCTAACAGGAAAAAAAATGCAAGAGAAAAACAGTGGCCCTTCTACTGGAATAGATGTAGATGTGACATGAACACTGGCCCACTACCCAAGTTTCAATGATTAATCATATATAAATCTACATTTTTTCTTCAGTTATCTAAATGGCAACATCTATTCCCCATTCAAAAGGCCATTACAATGTATAAAAATGTCAAGACCTTTTCTTGCAGCATCCAGATACTGATGTATCTCCAAAGCCTTAGCTCTAGAACAGGGGTGTCAAACTCGATTTAACTGAGGGCCGCATCAGGGTTGTGTTTGACCTGGGGGGGGCATGACCAGGGTGGGTGTGGCCAGCTTGCCATCACTCATATCGGGGACACCTTTGATGGCCGAGCACTCTGCCAGTAAAAATGGGCTCCTGAGCTCCGTTTTGGGTTGTGACGGACTCCTGCAGTCCTCTGCCAGTGAAAATGGTGTTCCATTTTCACTTGCAGAGGCACTGTGGGCTGGTGTTTCCAGGGTGGCCCTACAGGCCAGATCTAAGCACCCCGTAAGCCTTGAGTTTCACACCCCTGCTCTAGAAAGAGGGGAACATGTTGTACTTACTTGGATATTCTGGCTTCTTTCAATTAGTAGATTTGTTTTCTATTTTTAAGTCAACAATTGTACCTCTTTTTCCAACTAAGCCAGAGGCGGCACAAACCAACAAATCACAAGCACATGGAGCAATTCTGTTTTCATTCTTCTATCTTTTCCTTCTATGTAATCATGGTGATAGATACCTAACTGCCCCAACCAGGCAATCAGATGTCAGTACAAACTGTCACCATTACTGCCTTTCATTTTTCGAAGTGAGAAAAGGAAACCCTTCACTTAGTTACCGGTTTGCTCTTTCCTTCTAGACACAAAGCAATTGGAGACTGGCTAAAACCCCAACTTCCATGATGTCCTGAGAGTAAAAAAGCTTTGCTAGACCTCCTAGGCCATCCCTGTCCCCCAGGACTATTGAGAGGCACAAAATAAGTAAATGCCAGCTCCATTTGCACACAACAGGATATACCATAGTATCAGAAGTTGTTTAACTGCTTGCCTGTCTTTAAGTGAAAGGACCATTAAAACTTGGGCCAATCCTCATTTCTATAATGCCTAGATGCAAAGTATATAGGTGAGTAACTAAACTGCTTCCAGGTGATGGATAAGAATTATGGGAATGTTACCTTTCAACATGCTTGAAATGGGGAAGGATGGCTTAATGCTAATTCTATTGATGCTATTGCAGCTAGGACCTATCAGCAGCTAGGGCTGTACCCCACCAACTTTCTCCCTGCAACAGGAAGTACCAACACAACCCAGATAGCCTGGATGTTCTGGTTTGCTAAATCAATTCTATTGTCAGGCCTTGCATAACAGATAAACTGCCCATAAATTATCCATAAGGGTCCACACAAAAGGGATGAATCATAGTTTAGCCAAGGACATCTTAGCCTAGTTGTGTAAATGCAGTCTTAATGGCTAGAAAGGTGCAGGACAACTCTACAAGATTATCTCCAATCATTGACCTAGAGTCTCCATCCACACGGCCCAGAAGCTGGGATCAGGCTGCAGAAGTCTACCAGAGAGATGGGAAGCTGAGGTATTTGTGGGGAAGGGAGCCAAAGTGTTGAAAGCTTAGTTCTAGTTCCTCTCCAGCACCTCTATTTAGTGGGCTCAGCAGGAAAACCCTGATCACCTCCTAGCGCCGGAGATCCCTGTTTCAGACTCGCGGCCAGTACCTTCCCCCCATCCGCCTATACTCACAGCTGCACCGTCCTGCTGGGAAACAGTGCGGGGACTTCTCTCAGTTTGAGGCGGCTGCAATCCAATCGTTTTCCCAAACAACGGCAAGTAGTCGGGCGTTCTTGGGCCAGTCCTGAGAAGAAGAGACTGCAGCAAAAGAGCAGGCGTCCTAAAAGTGGCAGCGGCGGCCGCTGTACCACCCAGCGGCGCACAGAGGAGCCCATGTCCGAAGTCCCTCGTCCGTTCAGTATCTGAGGCTTTGGGGCTGGGGAAACGGAGTGCAGTCAAGACAAGGATTTGCCACTCTCAGGGCGCTGGGAGGCGTCGTTTCATTCCCTCCCGCCATCTGGCAAATCCGCAAGCAAGTCTCCTCGACGACCAGCCAACTCTACTCAGTTAGCCTAACTTTCTGGCGCTTTCCCAGCGCCTGCCCGGACAGGCTGAGCCCACCCCCTGCCATGTGATAACAACAAAACGGCGGGCGGGGCGGATTGGCTGAGGAAAGATGGGGGCACCCGGGGGAAGCAGAGCTCTGGCTTGGGGAGACGATCGGAGGATACGCTTTGCAGGCAAGTGTCTCCAGAACAAAAGCAGCGGAGCCATCTCGAGCTAAAGGGAAAAAAATCCAAACCCATTTGTGCAAACATACCAAATGTCCGCACAAATACGCCTAGAAGGTGATAAGGAAACTAAAGCTCCAGTCAATCTGATTTGATCAACATCTTGATTTTAGTAAAGATTTGAATTTTTTAAGACACAAAAAAACAGGCACCACATAAATACTACACGGAACAGCCCAGCATACACATTCTGGAAAAAAAAAGAAGGATGGGCTCCAGCGGGAGTCCAAAAGCTTGTAACTCTGGTCCTGGTGACCGACTCAGATTGGATCCTGCAAAATTTAAGTTCAAAATCTAAATAGAGGTCATTCAATAGCAGTTGAATGATAAGTGTTCTTTCTGCTGGTATGAGCTGGGCTTGATTGGAAAACGTCACAGCGTTTCTTATCTTAAGTATTGGCAAGGGCAATGACTCATTAAAAAACAAAAACAAGAATGACTAGAAATAAGCTGCTGTTTTATTTGTGTTTTAAAATAATTTATATCAATGGATAATATAATAAACTATATTGTTAGGAATCTATACACCAATTAGTTGGGTTGGCAATATATAAACCAACAATGTATGTTTGTAGCTTTAAGACAAAATCACTGTATTGATTTATACTATATTCCGACTGGTTGATTATATTGCAAATTATCATAAGAGGGAGCTAGAGATCATAGCTTGCTCTCTCTGACATTCTGTCTCTCTGACATTCTGTTGCTATCTAAGGTTCTCTGTTGTATTTATGCTGTGCTTATACTTTGATATCTTTGTTTAGTGTAAATGACAAAGGCAACCGGTAAGAAGACTTTGTAATTGGATATTCTTTGGACTGTAACAAGTATATGACCTGGACCGTTTATTGGACTGTGCTATTTCTTGAAGTAAACTTTAACTCAATTCAGTGTAGCTGTGTGTGGCTAAATAATTATTCATAACTACTCTCATAAATGTTTCCATGTGCATATACTTGTTACTCAGGGTTCTTCTGTACATATCATAACATGTATATTATTAACAAGTATATACCTAACTAAGAATTTGGAACTAGTAATTGCAAATATATGGCCTCTACACTATGCAAGAAATACAGCATTGCTAATCTTGACTCTTGTGTCAGAATTGTTACAAAAGACTCAAGGTGTGATAAGTAAGGTGGTGTTACCATACAAAAGAATTTAATAACTATTGGTTCTGTTATGGTCTTTTTTAAGAATGAGCTAAGGCAGGCATTAACAAATGATCAATGTTTAATGTAACAAATAAACAGGTTACCCGCATCAGCCAATATGCTTCGGAACTGGATAGCTGACGGATAACAGCTGATGCCGTGTGACAGCTCCCTTTTATAGTTCGCTGCCAGACGGCTCAGCCAATAGAAACACACAAAACTCTCGCTTAAAATGTGGATCAACAAGGGAACTTTTGTACAACGCAATACTCCTTTCCCCCAGCTAGGAGCATGCAGAATTGTTTAAATAGGCGGGGAGTCGTCTCTCTCACCCCGACCTGCGCAGTTCAGTCTTTGCAGCTGGCTGGAATGGATTGGCTGTCACCACTCCTGTAGAGGCGGCACTGGACTTCTTGCCACAGATGACTTGGAATCTCTCAGGAACTCTTCATACGGTAGGTTTGTTTCAGCACGTGCATCACTCATCAGTGTCTTGAATTCCAGTTCGTCGTTTCTACAATGCATTCCCTCTGTTTGCTCATTCCCTTCTGATTTACTTGGGAATGAGCCCCAACGACCTCTCAATTGGTCGATATGGTGGCGCCATATTCTGCCATCCTGTAAACCAATTGTATAAGACCTGGGCCCTGTGACAGCCACCACTTGCCCTGGAAGCCAAAGAGGATTACCCCCAAAATTCCTAGCATAGACAAGGTTGTTTACCTGGAATGATCTTACTCAGCTAAAAGAATCTAAGGGGATTGAGGGTGTGTAGCTTGGGTGGAGCCTATGTGAATTATTCCTAAGCCTCCTTCCCATTAACAGCTCTGCTGGAGAACGATTTGTCATTGAACTGGGCGTGATATATTGTGACAGTAAATAAGTGGCTAATTTTGAGTGCCAATTGTCTCCCTCAAGTCTGCCTAAAACCTCCTTGGCTGCCCTTACGGCTCTTTCAGCCTGTCCATTTGCTGCTGGGTGATAAGGGGCTGTCAGAGCATGTCGGACCCCCTTCTTAGCAAGAAACAATTCAAAACTAACTGATGTAAATTGCGGACCATTGTCTGAAACAAGAACATCTAGAAACCCATGAGCTGCAAACAGTCTAATGCTTTTATGACAGCTTCCAAAGTAGTAGTATGCATGAGGGTCAACTCAACCCATTTGGAGTAAGTGTCCACTACAATTAGGAATATGCGGCTATGGAAAGGGCCTGGCAAATCTATGTGGACTCATGACCATGGGGACTTAGCCAATTCCTATTCCCCTGGAGTGGCAGCTGGTGGGCCAGGGAGCGATAGCTGACATGTCTGGCAGGTCCTGACCCTAGTGGTTATGTCTGCATCTATGTCTGCACTGATTATGGGCAGAAGATAATCTGCCAGGCTATGCAGTTCACCATGCACCACTAGTCATTCAAGTGAAGCCTCTGGCAGTGCCTGTTGGTCTCCGGCAGAGAAGTTACCCTCACTCCATTGCACAAGCAATTCAAGACCAAATTACCAAATTCTTAAAGGCAGGCATTTTAACAACTATTCAATCTCCTTGGAATACTCCCATCTTACCCATCCCAAAGCCTGATGGCTCATATAGGCTCATCCAGGATTTGCAGAGACCCGTCCTTTAGTGTACACTTGAAGAAGTGCCCCTTATAATTGCCCTACCAGCAACAGGCAAGGAACATATGAGGCAGAAGAGGCCTTACTGGTGTCACTCTGGAAGCTGACCCTCTACGTATGGCTGAAAAGAAGAATGAGAAAAGCAGTACATTTTATGCTGTGTTTTGCTGCTTCTGAAGAGTATATATGTAAGTGTTGCTCCATAGGAGGTTGTTCAGATGTTGCTTTGGCTATATTGCTCTGAACCTTTGTGCAAATAAAAGCAACTTCTTTTGATTTCAAGGTCTGAGTCTTGTCATTTTCTGGAACAGTACATTTTATGCTATGTTTAAAATGAACTTTTTTATACTGTAAAGCAGCTTTTCCTGAACAGAATATTACAGATATGTTTGTCTATTTCCACCACTTAATTTCCATCACTTAAAAACATCTTGGATCATATTGAACTGGGAATTATAAAAAAATGTAACTCCCAACCGATTTGGAGGGCAACAGATTAATAAGAAGTATGGAATGAACACTGTATTATGGCATGCAACAAGTTTACATCATTTGTCATATTGTTGTATTTTAATTATATAAGTACAGGGAAGGCTGGGAGGTTGACATTTGAATAGTTTAATTTACTTGTTGGAGGATAACAATGCTTTCATATTCAGAAATATAAGTAATTCCATTAAAACAATATTTTAAAAATCCATTTCCAGATTTGCAGTTATCAAGAAATTGTTTTAGCCTGGTTAATTCAATCTGTATGGCATAGTAGATGGTGAGGATGTTGACGATGTCCTCATTTCCTCCAAAGTGTGTTCAGTTCCATGTACACATCCAATTAAAATATTCAATAAAATTTTGATAAGTAATTGTATTTTGTTTTGTTTAATCATTTTTAAAAAGAGTTCACTTTTGGAAAAACTCTGGTACTGGAATAGTTGCAATCACTGGGGGATGGGAGGGAGTTAGAAAACATTAAGATAATAAAAGTAATGCTAATAGATCAAGTTATTTAAAAATAGTAATTAATAAATGAGTAATTGCTCTCTGTTCTCCACAATAAGCACATTGGGGTTGATTGTAGGATGATCTAAAACTGCTTTTAAAGATTTTCTAGAAAAAACGGGAAACTTCATGAATCTCTTGAAACAAGATGCTTCTTTTAATTTTAAGATTGCTATTGCTATTGGAGGACTGATTGCTATTGCTATTGGAGGACTGTTTAGACCAGGGCTGTCAAACCTGCAGCCCATGGGCCAGATGTGTCATGCACTGGCCATGCTCACACCCAGTTTAGTGAAGGGGGGGGAAGTCCTGATACATCACATGACACTGTGATGACGCGAGTTTGATACCCCTGGTTTAGACGATTCAGTAGACAGCTTGTCAAGAGATACATATAAGCTTATGATAGAGCATCCCCTGAAAAAGCTGGTCATAGGTTTGAGATGAAATGGCAACCATAGGTCAATGTTTACAAGTTACATTTAGTAATCAGGAATAATCTTAACATCCTCCATATCCGAGTGAGTGACATAAAGTGATTTCATTGAAAAATGTACAGTATTAAAAATAGAGGCATCGTTAACTTCTTTTTGGCTTTGTTTTGCTTTGTTTTTTTTATGTTTCACATGGTTGAAGTATAAAATAAGTCTTAATGTACATAGGCACCTATGACATTGGAGCTGAAAAATTCTTGTTCATAATTGGCAATGTTGCCATCACATTTCAGCATGTCAGCTAAAGATCTGAGTGCAGAAGATGCTGTAAGCAATATAAGATGAACATATTACACAAAGCCAATGGTGATGAGTGTTGGAAGACATAATTCTGGAACATCCTCAGGGGCAAGTAGAAGAAAATTCCAAAGCCAATTCTAGAATTTGCAGTCCCTACATATTTCACAAAT